AGAGCGCTTGCCTTGCATGCATGAGGCCCTGGGTTCAATTCCTCAGCACCACATAAGCAAAAAGAAAAAAGCCGGAAGTGGTGCTGTGGCTCAAGTGGTTGAGTGCTGGCCTTGAGCTGAAGAGCTGAGGGACAGCGCCCAGGCCCAGAGTTCAGGCCCCACAACCGGACCCAAAAAAAAAAATGGCCAGGTTGTAAGCATGTTAGACTTTCTGGACCACAGAGGGTGTCTATCATGTATTCCTTTTTTTTCTTCCTCTTCCCCTATCCTTCCATTTCTTTTCTCTTTCTTTACCTTTTGTCTTCCTTTCCTCCTTGTTTTACAACCTTTTAAAAATGTAAAACTCATTCTTTTTCCTCTGCCCCTACAAAAAAAAAAAAAGCTCCAGGAGGGAAAACGAGGAAAGTGAAGGCAGGAGTGACATTGTCCAAAAAAGACATGTACTCATTACCTGATTTAGGCAATGGTAACTCTGTACACCAGCTTAATGATAACAATAAAAATTATAGATTTTTAAAAATCAGAGCTCCAATCTGCTGTAACTATCTTAGAACTAGGATGGGAAGAGAGATTGTCAGGTAAAGTCTGAGACAGGGCTGTTATGTTAAGCTGAGGAAGGCCTGGGAAACATGGGGAGGGAATGGATGAGGATCTTGAAGCAGAATTAACTCTTCCTAATGATTGCTTAGTTATGAGGTATTAGAAAGAAAAGGACAAAGCAGGTATGATTTTGAGTCTTCAAAATTGAGGGACTAAGAAGTGGTGCTGGTGCTATTATTTAACACCAAGACTGCAGGAGAGTTTTCAGAGAAGATGGAATCACTTTGAAGGCGCTAAGTCCAGTGTCTGAGCATCATCCAGGTAAAGGGTACCTGCAGCCTGGTGCCTTTGTGGGTCAGGGACCATTTCGTCCCATCCACAATGTGTACCATACAAGGAGCCTATGAGGGAGTGGTCATGGAATACTAAAGTGTCCCAAGTCTATAAGACAGGAAAGAGCTGGATTTTAGGAACACCAGACTGGCAGTATATCTCGGGAAGAACTGGAGAGGATGAGACTAGATAGTCCAGTCTCCTGTGGGAAGTCCAGGAGGAAAGGAGCGCCTCACATTGGGTAGTAGCAACGAGACAGAAAAAAAGACAGCAGGTGGGAGAGAGAGGGATGGGACAGAATTGCAAGGAGGTGGTACTCTATAGGTAGAAGAAGAAAGGCCTTCTACAATATTGTACTCAGACTCCAGTGTCACCGATGCTGCTGCTTCTGTCTTATCCTTTTGTGGTCCTCCCTGACTGAACTACTCAGGCCGTGTAATGCAAACTGTTTCCATATCTTTGCAGTGTTTATACAAATCCAGTTGTGTGGCGCATGTAGATAGTTGTGTCCTGTCCCACTGGTAAAAACCTTGGCATATTCTCCATTAACAGGAAAAGGAAATATAGAAGAAAAAATAAGAGAGCACTTGATAAAAGAGTTAAAAATGTTGGGTGTTTTTTGTTTGGTTTTGTTTTCATTTGAACTGGTACACATCTTAACCTAGGGCTTTAAAATTGCATATATTTCCAGAAAACCCTCCATCAAGGTAAATTTGCATGTTGCCAGCCTTCCTGTAATTCTTTCTACCTAGGTCTGAAGTCTCTTGTGGCCTTACTGTAGCAGGTCTTCCTTAGTAGCATGACTGCTGTTGAGATACAGTGACTGTGTACATCTGTCTTCCCAGTGCATTAAGCTACTGTGTTAAAATACATATAGAGCCGCCTCTGTCCACAATGTGCACCGCACGCTAACACCCAGGATGCTTGGTGGTTAGAATAGAAAGGGCACAAGACCATTTCTTTTTGTCTGTTTGGCAATTAACCATTCACTGGCTTTTTTTTGTTGTAACATGCACTTCCTTTCTCTTGTTTTCATTCAAGCTGTGTACGCCATGGAAATTAATGTGGAGAAAGACAAACAAACAGGAGAGACCAAGATTCTCTCTGCATCTGCCATTGGCCCAGAGGGGGTGCATCAGAGAGGAGTCAAAGTCTATGACGATGGTACCAAAGTAGTATATGAGGTGCACTCAGGAGGCACCATAGTAGAAAACGGAGTGCACAAATTAAGCGCAAAGGATGTTGAAGAGCTTATTCAGAAAGCTGGACAATCAAGCTTAAGAGGAGGGTACATGTCAGAAAGGACTGTTATTGCAGATGGGAACCTCGGCCATCCCAAGGAACACATGCTCTGCAAAGAAGCCAAGTTAGAAATGGTGCATAAGTCTAGGAAAGATCACGCTTCTGCAAACCCAGGGCAACAGGCTCAAGCTCCCAGCACAGAAGGGCCAGAGGCCATCTTGGATCAGCCAGTCACCATGATTTTTATGGGCTACCAAAACATCGAGGATGAAGAGGAGACTAAAAAGGTACTGGGCTACGATGAAACCATCAAGGCAGAATTAGTTCTCATTGATGAAGATGATGAGAAGTCATTAAGAGAGAAGACAGTGACAGATGTGTCCACTATTGATGGGAATGCAGCTGAGCTGGTATCCGGAAGGCCGGTCTCAGACACCACTGAACCCTCATCCCCAGAAGGGAAAGAAGAGAGCCTGGCCACAGAGCCAGCCCCAGGTACCCAAAAGAAAAAGCGCTGTCAATGCTGTGTTGTCATGTGACCACTTCTTTTCTCCCTTTTCTTCCGGGCAGCCTCTCTACCCTCCACCACTTCCATAGACCTCACTGCACCACTAACTGCAATACTGTGAACTGGGAGCGAACACCTGCCTTGCCTTGCAGTTGGATTGCTTTGATCTCTCTTTTTATTTTTTTCCTTTTCCTCACCTCAGAAACAACGTGCATGTGTGTGGTTCATTTTTTTCCCCAAGAACTTGCTTTTCCTCTAAACCTTTTCTTATGTCTTCAAGAGTGAATCAGTACCTACTGCTCGATTGGAATGGACTGTTCATATCAGCCTGTTAATCTTGTAGCCTTAATTTACTTGACTGGAATCCAACCCATTGGCACTGGGGCTTTCATTTTGTTGTGTATTCCTCCAAGATAGTCACACACAAACACACACATACACACACTGCCACATCCCCAACTTCTCATTTGCCTCACTTGCTGTGGATCTTAGTTTTTATAACTTGTTTTTATATCAGCTGTGGGCTGTAGCTGGTTTCTAGTGTAGCCAACAGTGGACATACTTAATCTGTCATTCTAGGGAGATGCTTTTTTCTGCCTTATATGAGCTTCCAGATTACAGTATTGAGCATCGCTAGCTTTTCCTTCTGTTAAACCTGAAATGAAGTTGATGTGAATCAAAAAGAATCCAGTGTTGGGCACAGCAGAAGTGTAGGAACCTGCTCAGCGGCAGCTGTCTCTCTTTCTATGTCTTAACTTCTCTATACAAGAAGCTCCATCTTACATTTTCTAAGGACCTGAGACAGCCATTATTTTAAGCATTGGTAGTGATCATCAAGTTTAGACATTCCGATCCATGAACTCTGTTTCTATTCTCTCAAACAATGTAAATTTTTATATCGGTTTCTTTTTCATGAATATTTTCTGATCATATCAATCTATTTTCCATGAGGGGATCATTTTGAGAAGTGTCTCTGCACTGACCACATTTCTAAAACAGTCTTTCTAAACTACAGTAGTTACAGCGCTCCCACTTTATCAAGGATGGTGCTGTGTGCATTAACTGTCCAGCTCATGTGCCCGGTGATTGTAGTCTTGGCAGCTGTAACTTTTCTTTCCATCCTTCCCGAGGGAAAGAGAATGCTTCCAGTCACTTTGACACGCAGGTCTAAGGACAGACATGAAAATAGCAGGTTTAAGGGGGGAAAATTAAATGTAAAAAAAGGTTGAAACATGTCAAAAGACCTGTCTTGTCATTGTGAAATATTTAAATTCAGTCCACAGGCTAGTTGAAATGTTACTGAACTTTCTAAAACTTTTTTTCACTCTTAAACACCTGGAGATTCTGGAATGCCAAGGAATCCTTTTTTTCTAGACCACAATAAACAGTGCTTGAAATAAATTCTTAGCACCAAAGTGATGTTAATAATTTAACATCTTGATGGGCAGTGAAACCAAAAGAAAAGAATAATAACATAAAAATGAACAGCTCATTTTAATAGCAGATAACTTCAAGTTACTTGTGCAAATGCTTCTGTAGCATTTTACAAAATTTTCTGTGTTTCTATAGAATATAGTTGCAAAAAATACATAATATGACATCTCATATTAAATCTTCTGTGGAGAGTAGTTCAGAAAACAGTAAGATGGCCTGAAACATTGTGTTATAGAACCAATTCAATTTGTCCTGTTCAGCTTTCTCAGTGCTAAATTTATTTAGTTAATTTTGGAACTTGAAATGATATTCCAATGAGAAAGGAAAATGACATTTTTATGTCTGTTATTTTTCTCAAATAACTGAATTTTTAATGAGCACAAAATGAGTCATTTTATCCCTAGTAAGTAAGCAAGAGCAAGAGTTAAGGAAGAGCAAGCAGAGAAACTAAGCTGGATTTACTTTGGGCAACTAATGGAGGGAAGTTCCTTTGTCTCAGGTTTACCACAGTAGATGAGATGGAATAAAATGCTGTCTTACAAGAAACCTGTTTTAATGCTAACATATCTCACTATTCTCAGCTTCATTACTCAGTAGATGGTTGTTTAAGCAACACTTACATGTTAGATAAAAAGTTGTAAGGATCAACCTATCTTCACACAGAATGAGCGGAGTTTCCATGTTGGGACAATCTCTTATTTTAAGAATTTATTTAGGAAAGAAACATAAAAGGTTGCCATAAGCTTGTCTTTTTTATTCACTTAGTGATTAAACATTATTCAGTGTGAGTTTTAAAAGCACATGAATGAGTGAAATGGCAGAGTTTAAGCCCCGTGGACTTGGTGTTTGATGGACAGAATCAGTCTTTCAGGAGAAATCCTTTCCTTTCCTTCCATAAGAGAACTAGTTTCTCATGACAAAATGATCTGTACCTCTCACAAGAACTCTACTCATAAAGCCAAAAATACCAGTGATAATCCACACTCCATCAGTTACTCATATGGGAAATAATAACTAGCAACTTACGTGAATTAGGATTCTCTATACTTTTATTTTTAAACATTATCATTTTTTAAGTTTTTAAAATGACATGTGTTGCCTTCCTCAATTATTTATCACCACAGTAAATGAAGATGCCTTTGAATGTGGCAAACATTTGAATATTTTCATGTCTTCATAAGCAGGTGGGCTCAGACAGGACTTCTATTGGACAAGAACTATAGTCCTATGTAAAGCAGCAAGTTATGCCCTTGATAATGAAAATGTAAACAAACCTATGATTGTGAATACTCTGCCTTTCCTCCTGCTTTTGTCACACTTTCGCTTTAAAAATTATCATGGCCTTCAAGAATGCAGACGATTCGGTTATATAACCAAGTTAATGAAAGAATCAGTAATGAAGCTACAAACCAGGATCTTTTTTGAGCTAATATTTAGTTGGGCTGTCCCTAAAAACCTTATAATCAGTTCTCTTTTAAATAGAGGAAGAAAAAAAGTGATGTCATTTTTAACAGATTATGGTGACATTTATTAAAGATTATTTAATAGTTAAAATGAGAACATTTATCCCTATATGTCATGAAAAATGTTGATGACTTGTGTATCCTTGACTTTCCCCCTTTTTCTCTGTAAATATGCAGTAACACAAAACTGAGGGGACTTATTTTTACCTTGTTCTTATTCTACCCATAATGATACTGCTTTCCATGTATGATCAAAAATAATAGTGTCTAAGTGTGATTTCCTAAATACTACTGATGCCAATTAGCATGAGGGTTAGAGCAGAAAAATACTAGGAATTCACCTCTTGACAGATTCGAAACATGGCTTCCTTAAGCATCCTGAGCCATCCTAAAATTACAAAAAGGCTTTTAGGAACTAAAAGTCTAGAGTTAATTAAATTGAACTGCTTGTGAAATGTCAATAAACATGTATTTACTTTAAATCCCCACCTTTTCCGATTTACTTCTGGTAATCAGTGTTTTCCCTGCGTGCAAGTAGATTATTTTGTTTTGGGTTAGGGTCAAGTATTAATAAAAGGAGAGAAGCCAATAAAAATACAGAGAGAGATACAGAGTGAGAGAGAAAAAGAGAGAGAGTCCCCTGGAGATAAAATATCATCATATCATCTCTGGGACCAAGCATCAAAGCCAAATGGGAAAACAGTTCATTTCCCTTCACATCCTGCAGAATTTGAATTCAAGAGACCTCAGAGTACTCTTGAAAGTTGCCATTTACTTAATGCCAATAGGTAACAAAAGACGAGGGAAGAGAATATGGAGATAAGAGAAAAGAAAAAGAGATGTTATTCCTCTTTATAAAACATTAACCCTATCCATTTAAAACATACACCTAGGACAATTCTTTTTGCTCTTACTTAAAATCTAGAGGCAAAGTCATTTTTTCTTCAATCATAGACCCACTGAAGAGTTTAACTCACTAAAAAAGACCCAATCCTTGCAGATATAGTCTCTTGTCTCCTGTTATGTTAGTTCATAGCAAACCATGCTTAGGTGAATGGTCTCGTGTTGTATTTTTACAACATGCACATTCATAGTTGAAATCACAAATTCTCAGCATTTTTAAGACATAGGTTTGAAAACCTTGCTAAATATATAATCCTTCAGAAGCTCCTTGATTTCTTCATCAAGCTCCATTGAACTCCACTGGTTAAAGGAGAACCATAAAGTATTATTTGCTCTATTGGGATAGTGAAACCAAACAGGAGCCTGGAGTTCATACAAAATAGCTCAAAGTAACAAAGGGGAAGATGGATCTTTGATTCCTGCTATTAGTTCACCTTCATTTTGTAGCTTTCTTCTTCACTTACTGAGAAAACCCTCTTCATTTTCTATGGACAAAAAGAATTGGCATCTACATTGGCACAGGAATACAATGCAGTCATGTGTCTATATTTTTATAACTTCAGCAATCATCTTAATTATAATTCCCATTTCAACAACAAACAGAATACTTAGTGATTGAATGTAGTAAGCTATGGAATAGTGATTATATCTTGAGAATGTCAAAGGGAAATGTTACTGGGAATCCTTCAACCAGCTCCCCTAACGTAATTTTGGTATAATTTAAGTAGGCTTCTGCTTCCTGTCTCCCCTAAAGACTAACATTAGAAAGTCTGAACTGGGCTGGGAAGGTAGCTCAGCAGTAGAGTGCATGCCTTGCAAGCATGAGGCCCTGGGTTTGATTCCTCAGCACCACATAAGCAGAAAAAGCCGGAAGTGGCGCTGTGGCTCCAGTGGTAGAGCACTAGCCTTGAGCTGAAGAGCTGAGGGACAGTGCCCAGGCCCAGAGTTCAGGCCTCATGACTGGCAAAAAAAAAAAAAAACAGTTAGAAAGTCTGAACTATCGCACATGCACACACACACACACACACACACACACACAAACCTGCTGTTGATGTAAAAATGAAATATGAAATTTTGGGGACCACAGACTTTCTGCATCAAAGATCTGGACAGCCTTAACTTTTGTAAAGATAATAATAATAATTTTTCAATGTTCTCTTTTACTAAGCAGGAAAACAAAATGTTTCCTGAAACTGATGTTTTTTATATTTTGTGACTATTTTCTAAGTTTCTACAGGTTAAGGTATGAATGGTTATCTTTGTCCCATATTGCCTCTTAGCGGTCACCTGGGGCTAATTTTTGCAAGTCACTGCATTTTTATCAAAAGCAAGGTATATCTCACAAACCATAAAATTCTCCCTAGACTTCAGGCAGTCCTTTTGAAGTGAAAGAACAGAATGACCAAAAGAAAAGAAGTACAGGGTTGGCTTTCTTTTTATGGTCAATGTGCTGTGTAGCAAATATGTTTACAGAATGTATCTGCCTTGTGATGTCAACAAAATGAATGACAAAAAAAAGAGTTCTGTTGTGCCAGTTGATAGTTTGCCTTAGATTGCTGTCTATGTTCTTCTTTTCTGTCCTGTTAAAAAATGAAGGTTGTATTCCAAAGCTGTATTAACACAACATTTGCTTCTGCACTCAACCCACCCTTCTTCAGAACTGTACATGTCAGCACAGGAGCCTCAGGCAGAACCTTGTAGGTCCAGAGGGGCTAACTTGGGCATAGCTTGCGCCTTACCTATGGCCTTCCACCAACTGAACATGTTTCTGTGTTCCCATCTGAGCCTGGAAATCACCCTCTGACATTCCAGGGCAGGTCACATGGAACACATGACCTCTCACAGTCATTTCCTCCCACTGTGAGAGAAGAGGACTTGTGTCCCCTATCTGGGTCTAAGAGTATAGTTGTAAGCACAATTAGCATAGAAAAAAAGGCAAGACCGACAGACTCAAATGCATCCTCCCCAAAGGGCTGTTTGT